GACTCCAGGTGGAAAATGTGACCTCTCAGTGGGGGGGAAAACCCCAGTTAAACAATGGAGAGATGGTGAGACATTTGTTATTCTCACAATATCTTGCTTCAAATCAGTGTAATCGACAGCACATTATTGTGCCTCGTTTTTCTGCAATAGCAGGAAATGTTTGAACAATCTTCATTTAGTTTATTCATTTTCAATTATTGAAAATTGCATCACTCCTTTCAGGAGCATATCTGTTTTCTGTCAGGTACAGGGAAGAGCTGTAATGGTTTCCTTCATTAAAACAAAGAGGGCATTTAACAGCAATGCCTTTTCATTTTTGTACCTTCTTTAGTCCACAAGGATCCCAATGGCTGTGTCTACTCTGCCCCCATTTTGTGCAAAAAATATGCAAATGAGGCAAAGCATGGAATATCGCTGACCCTCATTTTGCATAATTAACGAGGCTCCGTTTTTGCGCAAGAGGCTTTGCACAAGAGCCCTCCTTCCACTTTTTTTTCAGGAAGAACGGCTCTTGCACAAAAGGGGTTTTTTGCGCAAAAAGGAACCATGTAGACGGCTCCTTTTTGCACAAAAGCCTCTTGCGCAAAAACAGAGACTCATTAATTATGCAAACGAGGCACCGTGATATTCCACGCTTCACCTCATTTGTATATTTTGTGCGAAATTGGGCAGAGTAGACATAGGCAATATGTCTTACGAATCAGTTTGCAAACTCTTCACCTGCCTTTGAAATGCTGTTACATGAGGAATCACATAGATGGGGACTTAGCTCAAATGGTAGAATATATGCTTTGCATGTGAGAAGCAGTGGGATATTACCAGCGTTCTCCAAGTGCTGATGTGAAGTTTCTTCTCTCTCCTTTTCATTCCCTCTGGAGCACCTGGCATTGGCCACTGTTGGCAGACAGGATACTGGGCTGGATGGATCTTTGGTCTGACCCAATATGGCCTTATAGTAACTGCTGGTTAAAGTTAGAATTCCCATAATGCTTAAGATGTTGTTCAGAAGAGGAAAGGGTTTACATTTGCATATATAATATGAGAAAGACCATCTTTGGACTACTGCAGATGTTATCAGGCAGATCCTTCATTGTTATAAATTCAAGCAGCTCCACTGAGGTCAGATTTGTACCAAGTAGTGCCTGGGTCCTAAACATTCTCTTGGCATATGCTATGATTTTTTTGTAACTGCACCTCAATTTTGGATGGGAAGAAGAAAAGAATATTTTCCTCAGAGACTGGAGGGTGAATTTAGGCAAGAATGTAAGTTCTCCCACACGAGATTAGCCAGGACATTAAGGAAGCTCACTTTTCTTTGAAGACAATCCCATGTAATATTTAATGACCACAAATGGTTGGTAAATTGGTTTTGCATTGAGCCCTTCCTGATTTCTTTGAGCACAACCACCTCAGGTCTTGAGTCACCACCACTCTTTGGGGGGTCCAGTCACATGATTTTCCCACACTGACTGGGCCCTGGGTTGCAAACTCCCAATACTAACTCTGATTACCTCAGTAGGCTTGACCCTGCAGCTCTGTTCCCCCCAGGAGCAATGACAGTACTTAATACAGGGACTAAAACAGCTCCTTTAAAGGAAAGTTTTGTTTATTTACAGCAAAGGTACTTCAGCAAGAACGGATCCTAATAAGCAGGCTTATGTATACAGGTTGTATCACTCTAAACTAGGACTCTTCTGGTCCGGCAACATCCGGACCATGAATGTTCCTGGGCTGGGGTCAGGGGGGAGGGCTTGGCGATTCAGTCAGAGCCCATGGCAGGGGAGGATAAACAGCATGGCAGGGAGTTCTGGCCCCAGCAGCAGTGGTTCGGTGGCAACCAGGGAGTTCTGGCCCTTGCTCCAGCCCCCACCAGGGAGCTCTGGCCATGACTCTGGCCCTAGAGCCTGAATCTGGGGGCAGTGGGGCCGGGAGGTGGGGTGGGAGGCCAGCGATATTCCACGCTTCCCCTCATGGCAGGGGACCTCCTCTGGTCGGGCAAATCTCATTTTGGTGCTGGACCAGAGAGGTCCAACCTTTACTTAGCTTTTCCTACAGCTTACTTTTCCTTGGATTTGTAGAGACCCAGTTTCTGTAGATTTCTCCCATATTCTCTGTCTGTCTCGCAGCTGCTGAGGAGTGATCACCCCTCTTCTCACCCTGAGAAGAACTTTTAGGTATTTTCCTGGTCTCCAAGTCCGCACCGAGGCAAAATGAACTCCCATCTTCTTTGTAGATAGGCTCCTTGAAGCTAACAGCTTGCCCCGTTCTTTCAAGTGCGTGTGGGGGTGTTATCTAGATCTGTTGTGTTGCTTTACTGCTTGCCCTTTTCATAACCCCCAATTACGTCAGATCAGTGCAGTCATACAGAAATAAAGCAAATTCTAATAACACCCTAACTTTACCTCACTGACTAGGTGACTTACAATGGGTCATGCCGTTAATAGATATCGCACTTTGTAAATTCATATCATAGTAATTCCCCATCCAGCACAAGTGCCTTTGGCAGCCCTGGGCCCTTAAACGCCATCCTGAAGCACTGATCCACTGTCGAGCTGAAGAATCAATGTTCATTACCTATCTGAGTTTCATCAGACATGTTATTTTTCCCAGGGAGTCTCTCATTCAGTACCGACCAAAGCAAGACTTGCTCACCTTCTGAGCCCCTACCAAAGGTGCAGGGTTTTCCATTTAGTAACATGTCTGAACTGAGGTGCCTCCCGCTGACTAATTATTTAATTGTAATGCATAATGGAGCTGGCGTTAGCCCATTTGAATTTTGGACATTCATGTCCAAAATTGTATGTATGAGTTTTCTTTCATTGCTAGCCATTATCAGCTTTCTGAAGGACACATACATGGCTTTATTCATCAGATCTCAGTGTACTTGAGAAATGGTAACAACTTGGCCTGGGACAGGGCAATTTCTATTACAGCCGCTCCCCGAGTTCCGAACAAGTTACGGACCAACACTTGGTCCGTAACTCGAAGTGTTCATAACTCGGATCCCATAGAGTTACATGGCGACTGTGTTGTTTGTAAGTGCGGATCGCCGTTTGTAACTCAGATCCGCATTTACAACTGCTTTGGTCATAAGTGCGGATGGTCGTAAGTGGAGATGGTCGTAACTCGGGGAGCGGCTGTATGTTAAAATGTAATTAAAATCACAGATGATAAATGGATTGTATCAAACTCTGGCATCCTAGATTTCCCCTTCTCCCACCATTACATATACTTGTACCAGGCCATCCTTATTGCTAATAGTGATAGTCCTTTCTACCCCTGTGCCTCTACTGGTAGTAAAGAACCTTGTGTATTTTCTTTGAGAAGCAAAAAAGAAAGAAGGGAAATAAAAAGAGTTACCTCATGGGTAAGGGAGTCCCCTTTGCTCTTAAGAAGAGGCAAAACTCCTCCTTTTAATGACATGACTTAGCCAACCTCATCAGCTCTCTTACTGTACCAAGACTGTTAGTGCTTATCAGCTGTAGCCATTAACTGTTGATGGCATTGTCCAGTATATCATGTCCACCGCTGTTTTGTTGATTAAGAGTAGTAATTCCAGTTTATGGAGCCACCAGTGTTAGTGTTGTACAGGCTGCAAATAACGTGCATTATATGTAGGGATGTGCAGGTTTAACCGGGTAAGTGGTAAACGTCACTCTTAATACATGAGGCTTACCAGTTAAGGTTAACCTGTAGGGGTTGGAGCAGCTCCCCATCTGCTGCAGGCCTGCAGAAGGCAGGAGCTGCTCCAGCGTCCCAGCCAGAGCAGCCTCTGCCCACAGCAAGCCAGGGTGCCCACAAGCAGGGGCTGCTCTGAGCGGCCTGCCAGTCGCTGGCTCCCCTTTACTCAGTTAATTGGTTAAACAATCTGTTTAACCAGTGAGCCAATTGAACGGGATTTTACAGATGGTATGGTCTCTATTGAGGATGTTAAATTGTGGTTAATTGACTAGTTGAATACTACTTGACTAGTTGAGTACTACTTGACTAGTTGATAGGCATTTCCGCATTCCTCCTCTGAAATGTACAAGAGCCCCAGTGGGGCTCTTGTACATTTCAGAGGAGGAATGTGGAACGCCACATGCAGCCATGGGTCAGCCCTGACTACCTCCGGGTTGCACGTGGGTGCCAGCTTTGAAATGCATAAAAGTCCCCAGCAGCAGTTCTTGTGCATTTCAAAGCCATGGAGCCCGGGATAAGGGGGGGACTCAGAGTCCCCCACTCACCCCAGGCTCTATGCTGCACTGCATGCTGGGAGGAGCCCGGGATCAGCTGGGGACTCCCCAGCTGACCCCGTGTTCCGCACGCAGCACTTTCCCAGAATTCCCCAGTGATCCCAGGGTCCGTTGAAATGCTGCGCGGAACAAAGGATCCGCTGGGGAGTCCCTAGCTGAGCTCTGAGGCAGTGTTTCAAAGGGTCCGCGCCGCACAGCTGATCCGTAGCTCAGCTGTGTGACGCTGCTGCTTTGAAGTACACCTTATTCCCCCCCTTTGATGCCTCTATCTGATAGAGGCGGCGGGGAGGAGGGAATCGACTAGTTGACTGATAAGCAATTGCTTATCGGATAGTTGACTAGTCCTTAACATCCTTAGTTTCTACTGCCTTTCTCCACAGAAGATATCAGAGAGAAGATTTAGAATAATTACATGAACGTTTTGCCAGGAAAAGACCACAACAGGTTTTACAGTGCTGGAGCTGCTGTGATGAAAACACATTTGAAAGGCTTTTAAAAAAACAGTACTGCTAGGCAGGACACAGCCAAACATGCACCATGGTGTACCCCTCTGCAGGAGTACTTGCAAGTGTGTTTTCCTGTACCTCCCACCTGTGTTTAGAATGTTTCCATGCTTTGCACAGAAAATACCTATGGGGCTAACATTTCGTTATGGCATAATTGCATTGAATGGAGTTGTGCCTTTCCCCCTCATCAGGAATTCTGCACCATATCT